CGGTGACGTCACCGAGGGATATCGCGGTCGCTAGGCAACGCGAATCAACAGCGGCGACGTTACGATAGTAACAGCGGTGACCTCCGCTAGCGTTACATAGCAACAGAGCGCCAGGCAAAAGGGTGCCTATTACGTGGCCGTTTTCCCGTATTGTCCGGTCGAGGCTACATAGGGAGAAGCGAAGGCTATTCACAGCCAGTTCTAGTGTGGCTACCGCAGAGTTGTACTGAGTTGTACTGAGACAGTCAGCGAGTCCAGCAGCTACCAGTCAGTTGTATTGTGGCATTTGGAGTGTACTAATTGTGATACTGCAGATAGCAGTAATCGTAAATCTGTAATTTGGGTGACTGTATGAGCGAATGTGAAATAAAATTCGCTACATCGAATACGTCGAGAATTTATTTGTCGCGATATAAGCCCGATACGCGACAATATTAATGCTGTGCTATATCGGAAGAGTATATTTAAATTGATCCAAAAGAAAAATAGTTTGGAAGAGTGTAGACGGGATTTTTTTCTTTCAGGATAGGAACCAGTGGTGTGTCCTTGCGAATACGTTGACGAGATTTATGGTTCCATATTTTTTTACGGTTTATTTAACGTTTCATCCAGTGACTCAGATTATATAGCGTCGAAGGATAGAATGATTAGTGAACAATTTAATGGGATGGGTTGGAAAGGAAACCATCGTTGTCTGATTTGCGTGGAGGACTAAAGTAAACCACGAAAGACTTGTCAGTTATAGCCGGTTTCCAGTCCTGCGCTTATTAACTTGGATGTCACCGACAGGAAACCGGAATGCTTTCCATTCGAACGCGGCGTTTGACTGGGGTTCCATAAAAAGAAAGGAAGTCCTTGACTAGATGGGTGACTCTTAATATAGATTCTTATAATAGGGTTTGGTTCATGGAACTGGAACAACAATGATATCATTTACTGTAGCATTCTGAACATTTTTTGTGAAGGGAACCCTAAAATTAGATTTTCTGAATAGGGGGTGACATTTCTTATTATTTTATTGAAATTTAATATGCAAGCTTCTACGAATACCGCATAAACCAGAACATAAGACGAGTGCATAGTTTTCCAAATCGGGAAAGAAATTTAACACAAAAAAAATACTGCTAAACTGCTGTTATTTGAAAGCAAATACTCACCTTAGAGTCTGCCTAATGCAATATATGGGGGTACGCGGTGGCGTAGTAGGTTTGAGGCACTGCGCCACAAGCCGGAAGGTCGCGGGTTCGAGTCCCGATGAGGTGGACTTTTTTTTAAATTTACCTAATCCTTCCAGCCGCACTATGAACCTGGGGTCGACTCCGCCTCTAACGGAAATGAACAGCAGGAATCTTCCTGATGGGTAAAGGGCGGCCGGCGCGTAAGGGTGACCTCACCGACATCTGTGAGCCGATTGTCTATAAAATGTGGGAGCCTCAATCTCTCATAACCCTATGGGTCTCCACGACCTGTTACAGGGATACCTTTACAAATACAATAGTAGAGATTCGACGTTTTCAAAGTTTTGAGATCAGTATGAAGGTTGCTTGCTTCTTGGGTAGACTCCGTGTAATTTTGTAGACAGTATCAAAATTTTCGGTGAACGTTGTGCCTCTGCCTTTAAGAGTAAGCAGTGGGAATCTGAAATTTTGAGGCTCTGTTTCTATAGAAAATGAAGACCAAGCAGTCTAGATTGAACCTTGATAAATTTAATTTCTTTGCGTTTGACCATTTGACTCCTTAAAGAAACTATTTCTTACGGTTAGACAAGGCAATGTGAAACTAAAGACAGGGACACAGGGGTTTCATGATAGTTATGGGCTACCACTGGGTCTCAATTTCGATAGAAAAGAAACTGGGTGGATGGGGGAGTGAAGAAAGAGAAGAAATTTGAGAATTGGGGTGAAGAAAACGAAAAATCACAACAAAACAACAGCGTGATAGGAAACAAGAAAGGATCGAAGTCTCTACAGTTGCTGCTGTCCTAAAGGAATAATAAAAATTGTTTCTGTTATCCTGTAACTAAATTGTTTCAACACTAATGCGACCAAATATCGGTCGTCAGGCATGCCAACATTTCGAGAACTATAATTCTTGCTTTAATTTCCCAGTATCTAACAAGCTGCCTTAGCAATAGAGCTTCTAGCTTGTTTTCAGGAGTTTCCCGATTCGAACCTCAACAGAGACACCGATTATCCTCATTGATAATTTCATACTTTTCCTCAGTCCCTCCAGGCAGAGACCAGGATATCCTCATATTGTGCCACGATTGCTTCCTTCCAGATCCTTCGCAATTCATTACTTATTAATTATTCTGCCATTCAATGCTATGTAACCTGAGCTACTGATCCTGTCGTTAAATAAGTTACTCCATGAAGCTGAGCCCTTCTTGAGAAGCCACCGGTCACCCATTGCTTAACAATTCCCCAACATTTTACGAAACTCGGAGGTTCATTACCGTGTTCACAAGAGCCCTCCACTGGTCCAATCCTGAGCGAGATCAATCCAGTTTATACCACCCTATCCTACTCGTATTACTGAGATCCATATTAATGTTATCCTCCCGTCTGTATCTTCGTCATCATAGTGGTCGCTCTCCTTGTGGCTTTCCAAACAAATTCCTAAATGCATTCCTCTTCGCCCACATGCGTGCTACATTCCCTGCCAAATTCATTGTCCTTGACTTGATTTTGATTACGTGTCGTTAAATAAGCCATAAATTGGCAAGCAATTCCAATTCCATCAAGTTTCTTTTCCTTGGCACTACAGCCCCAGTGGATCTAGGACTACCTCCATGAACTTATTTTTTTCACTTCGGCTTTTCTAGATCTTAGACATACGGTAGGACTCCTTGGGAGGGTGATCAGCTCGTCGCAAAGCACACAAACATCCATGCCCTGAGTGGGATTCGAACCCACGATCCCGGTTTCCAAGCGAGCGAAGACAGTACATGCCTTAGACCGCTCGGCTACCGTGACCGGCATTCGATCAAGTTATACCACTAAATATAAATCTCTTTGTTTTGTAGATGAGACATCGAGGCTGAATTATCAATATTCTTTGTTATGATTCTAAAAACACCTGAAATGAAACTCATGTGCTTTAATATGACACCCCGTCACTTTTTTGCGAAACCATAGATATAGATATATTAAGAGTATGAGCAAGAGTTCTATTCAGAGTATCGGCTGAACCCGCTTCAACTTCTTTACTTCATCATTTCTGTTTCTGTCTTTTCCTCTTTTCCTCATTTTCTCCTCCTACCTACTGAATTCTCTTTGAGGCTTCCTCATTGTCCATTCTGGCAGGCTGGCAGGCCGGCGTTCCTACGGGCTTAGGGAGTTAGGGAGAGATACAAGAAGTGCCGTGTGCAAACTTCGAGCGGCGAAAGACTACGCGTTGCGGGTACCCCTCAGCGCCATTCGAATTACATTTTATCGCAGTGGTAGTCAGGTGTCTGGAAGGCAAGACTAGCCCCAGCCGAACCTAAGCCAGTGCTTTCTCGCATTCCGGCCAACGAGCTACCCAACGACAAACCGACAAGGTAAGAGTGAGCCAAGTGACGACAAAAGTTTTAGTGAAAACGGGAAACTTTCCAACACGACACTGAACAGATAATAGGGGAAAAAAGAAATTACAGAACCAGTATAACTTTGTTATTTATGTACCAGTTCAGTGACTTTCTGCTTCTCAATGAGGACCGTTACTATAAAATCATAAATTTTATTTAACATGTGGAATACTAGTTGATGCAATATAAAATTTCGCGAATTTATACTTTTGTATACCTCACAGACTGGGAACAGTTAACAGAAAGAATGTATTGCAACAACTGAAACGCGTATATAAGTAAATTTACAATTACACGAATATTTCTGGTAGGTCAAATTATGAGTGAATTGACGCATTCACCGCGATGCAGGAAAAAGTAAAATGTTTGCTACCAGACTTAAGCGAGCTGTGCGGATGTTAAATTTAACGACGGATTTCATTTTAAATCCCTACCTACTTTGTGCACAGTAGGTCTAGCTAGACTGACTGCATTTACGTTTTCTGTTAAAGCAGTTATAACACTGCTGGGTTTGCTGCCCAAAGAACTGGTCAACTTATTTGTTTTGGGGGCGGTTATAATTAGATTCGAACTGGACACTCTATACGCTTAAGCATAAAACGACCGGTTTCGGGAATCCGCGCATGCCTCTTCACAGTCTTCTGCCGCCATTGCATCATCCTTTCGCTGTGCTTCCACACCCTAACAGAAACGAAGCGATAAAATATGAATGAGGCCTTCGTGATCCTGGACCGTTCGGACATTTGGAGAGTTAGTTTGAATCCCGCTAGGGGGCATGGACCCATATTATTTAGGGAATTCTCCCGGTTAGGAAGCGGCCTGGCAATATACTGATCCGAAAACCAAACAGACATACGCTATTTCGAATAGATTAAATGGAAATTTAAGAGATGTATAGTTAACCTGAAACAGGAGAATAGGGCAGACTAAGGAAAAGAATAAACAAACAGGAGTTTTAGTTACATCGACAAATTAGGACCGGCTCTTTACGTCAGGACGTAAATAAACTTCATATTTTAAAAATATATGAGACGAAATTTACAGATATGAAACTTAACAAATTGTCCTCTATTATGTACGGGGCACAGCTTAATAGGAACTACTTTAATTTTATTGAAAGGTTCATTCTTAATCAATGTTCACAACATTCTTTTCCAGCGTTCTGCAATTATTTCATTGAAAGTTTATGTTTAGTTTAGTTAACAGAACTTGTAATTTGAGAATGGGTTAGACACGGTGTGAGACGTCCCACTGGTTGAGAGACATTTGCCACGTTTACAACCACGAGATGGAGGTTGAAAATGTTAATATACTATACAACTGACTTAGCATTTAATGATGTTATTTTCAAAATTTAGGCTTATTTATGGAATTTTCGTAGAGTTGAGTTATTTGTATACAGTCTCCCATTGTACCAGTTTAATTTGTAGCAGACAGCATCGGCTAAATTTGGTAAGAATTTTTTCTCTCAGATTCCTCAGAATATGCCACAGACACAGTCTGTTGTTTCATGTATGGAGTCTTTTTTATGTACTCGGCGAAAGAACAAGATTAGTTTGAGGAATATCATGTTCACTAGGGGATATCCTTTATGCCTTCTAAGTGCTGGCTTGGAAACGCGAAGAGCCAATCTTAAACTTAGGCAGAGGTGATCTTAAATTTTCTAGCAATAAAACGTATGCTTAATAGTGTAAGCACAATTTCTACTTTATTATTTTTATAACTGTTCTTGATTTACGTGTTTAATTCATCGTTTTATATTCATATAAATATTTGTCATGAAATCATAGACTGAAAGTGTGTTCACGAACAGGTAGTATACTATTTGGATCGAAGGCAGAAAAGTAATACAAAACTACCTAACGACCTTGTAAATTTTGCCTTTCAAAAACTTTTGTACACTGATCAAAAGAATTGGGGGCAAATGGACTGGGTATGTGGCTTACATGGGAGGGGTGATAACTGAATGCATAATGTTCATCAGAAATTTTAAAATGGGGAGCCCACTTGTGGGCATGATACCAAACTCGATTTTAGAGAAATAGAATATGAGATCTTGATTAGATTCATTTGACTCGGAATAAAGTCCAGCTGCTCACTCTCGTGAACACTTTAATATATCATTATCAAGGCAATTAAATTTTTGACAAACTGATCGACTGTTACCTGGATACAGGGAGTCCTGCTTCTTGGAATTTGATGGACAATCAATCAGCCAAAAGCTTTCTGCATTTCAGAAATATTTAGCAATATTACACCAGATGACATTAGTTACGTTAGGTTCCGTCTTTCTCTATGACACCTTTCAAGCTTATAATAACATATCTGGCATGAACAGACGTTAATTAAATTTCGTATTTACAGTTGCTATTAAATTGTAAAAAAGTACAAATTCCATATTCTCTAAAATTCACTGTACATAACCGTCCTCTCACTTAATTCTCTGCTAAACAACACAGGAAGTACGAAATATTAATCTCAACAAGCACAGCGCACAGATTGTAGCAATTACATGTTAGGAACAACATGCCTGCATCTGTACTTGATGGCTAAAAGGTGTAATCTCACGCGAAACCTCTGCGCTGGTTCCTATAATTTTCTTTCGAGAGAGAAGTACTTCATAAGTAAAAAGAAAAGTAAAGGTATCCCCTTAACAGGCCGTGGAGGCTCCCACATTTACTAGACAATCGGCTCAAAGATGGCGGTAAGGTTGTCAGCCTTACGCGCCGGTCATGCTTTAACCCCCAGGAAGATTCCTGGTACTCATTTCTGTCAGAGGCTGAGTCGACCCCGGGGCCATAGTGGGGCTGGAAGGATTAGATCAATTGAAAAAATCCACCTCATCGGGATTCGATCCCTCGACGTTCCGGCTTGTAGCTTGTATACAAAATTCCCAGTATACAGTCCATTCAGTTTATTCAGCAAAGAGTGCCATAGCTCAGGCTATAGCCTGCCTCTTACAACGGAGGCCCAAGTTCAATCAATCAATCAATCAATAGCACTGAAGCAGGTTTCTCTCAAGAGTGCGTCAGTTTGCACCTTTAAGCACAGTTGACATTATGGTTAATAATGAACTATGTCATATGAGACCCAAATAAGTCTAACCTAAAGAGTTCTGACGATGGTGCTTAACACTCAGAATTACTGGCTTCTGGACTTTTTTTTCCATCCGGTATTGTAGAAATTAGAAAACACGTTTCGGACTCTGGATCTGTTTCCGTCTTCAGGTGGGGGGAAAGACACCTACTCAGTTGGTTCAATGTGACTGTGTTCAGTGATTTAGGTTAGCTCTTTCTAAGGGACGCAATTGAGTAGTTGTCTTCACTCCCCTCTCACCTGAGGACGGAAACAGATCCAGTTTCCGAAACGTGTTTTCTAGTTTCTAAAATACCGGACGATGAAAAGGAAATCCAAAAACTCAGAAATTCTGAGCAAAATATGTCTGTTTAAATGTTCAGGCGTTGATGCTGGGTCAGATATGAACCCCAAAAAAGTTTCTTTTACACTGCAAAAATGTGGCTATTGTGCGCATGCTTTAAAACTGTTTCAATTCTTTACGAGGCTGCAAGCAGATTTCTGGCGCTCTTACGTATGCATAATTTTGCATGAGTTTTGTTACCTAAACACACAGGCCTATGTAGAATGAGATGCGTACATTATTACGTTCTCTTCCTGTATCTTTTCCCCAAACTGTTTCCGGTACAATAGCTCTTCACCTCATGCGTATATCTACAGCCTTCTTATGACGATATCTTTTACGTATTTTTTAGAACTGTATTTCAGAGCAGAGCAATCATTTATATTTTACCCTATTCTTTCTCTGTACTTTTCTGAATTGTAGGAAGTTTGAAGTTTACTGCATAAGCTTATAGGCAGTAAAACTGCATTTCTATTTATTTCTGTATCTGGACAGAAGACAACTTGAGAAACTTAGAAGTAGATGGGAAGATAACATTAAAGTGAACATAGGGAGACAGCATGATGATATGCGGTGGGTTAGGACGAGGAAGTTAACGGGATTTTGTTGACACGGGTACGGACCTCACGTTTCCATAGAAGGAGCAGAATTTCTGGACTCGGAGCGACTATGAACTTCCCTAGTGGGGCTCTGTCGCGTAAGAGTTGGTTGAATTTAATGCTAAACCGTACTAAGAAAAATTTTCCAAATCCNGACCCAGGTACTTGACTTCATTTTTCCGAGGGATAAATTCACCGTTTAACATCGGTTGTGGGCTTTCTGTAGAGTGTAAAAAATGAGAGCCTCAAAATTATTGTCGAATAGACAACAGTTCAGTTTCCTCCAGCCACATTGGCCGCGCGATCTAAGGCACGAAATGTCTTCGCCCGCTCAACAACTGGTGACGTGGGTTTGAATCCCACTTAAGGTATGGATGTCCGTCTGCGTTTATTTTGTGTTTGTGTCTTCCTGCGTAGATAACGGCCTTGCGTCGGGCTAATCCCCCGCCAAAAGAATTGTGCCGACTGGCTATGAAATTCACAGTGTCAAAATTATGTTTAAAGGGATATAAGGCCGGACAGCCTAATCCGCCAAGGCAGCAGAAAAGGAAGAATTTCCCAAGTCTTAAGTAAGCTAAAGAGTTCTGTTGTAAGGTAAGGTAACAGGCCCTGTTAACATCCCGTGAAGGCCCATATGGTTGAAGACGTCGAGGTTCCCATATTTTCTCTAGTTAATCGGCTCACAGATGGCGGTAAGGTTCTGGCCTTACGCGCTGGCCTCCCTTTACCCCCAGAAAGATTCCTGGTGCTCATTTCTATTGGAGGTTCAGTCCAACCCAAGGCCATAGTGCGGCTGAAAGGATTAGGTCAATGATCTCACTGGGAATCGAACCGGCGACTTTCCGCGTTGTAGTATAGTGTTTCAACCAATGGTACAATATTATTATTTCCCCGTGAATAACCATCATAACAGCGCCTTCTTTGAAGAAATGTTAAAATTAACTGTAGAATACATA